GGCAACAAGAGCCTGATTGGCAACAGGCTGTGATTGGATAACTTTGGATACTGCCTGGCAACAGGCTGTGATTGGTTGAGGCACAGACCGCCCCTTGACTGGATTGGCTAGTCTCAGCTATATAAGCTGTTGTACCAACTGAAATAAACGAGTCTACAGGCTGCTCACCTCTGGCCCGCTTTCACCTGACTCCTGGGGTCTGTGTGGTGACTCCACGCCTCTTGCCCCCACCACGCTCCTCTCAGGAACAAATCCTCTCAGAAACAAATCAACCTCAACAGGTAGGTAGTTAGGTAGCTAGACAAGTTGGTAGATAGGGGGTAGGTAGGTGGCTAGCTAACTAGCTGAATGAATAGGTGGGTGGGTGGATGGAATATTACTCAGGATTCTCCAGAGAAACAGGACCAATAGCCAAAAATGATATATTCAAATGTCCATGGGAAATGTACATTATGAAAAAACCATAAATGAATTTCAAAAAAACTTTGCACTAAAATAAATTTATTTTAATTCAATTTTCAAAAGAAAAATTCAAGATTTATTTATTTATTGGGAAGGCAAGGCAGAGCCAAGATGGCGGAATAGTGAGGGCATGCACCGATAGTCAGGGAAAAGATAGTTTAATAAAAGTGGAGTTACTGTAGCCTCAGGAAAAGGCTCAGGAAAAAATTGCAGAGGAAACTCTTCCGGATCTAGTGGATGTGACACGGAGGACCTACGGGGAGAGCAAGGTCGCCCACCGTGTGGAAGCCCAGCCGCAGAGTCTGCGCACCAGCGCTGGAAGGGGAGGTGAGACAAAAACCTCGGTAACCCGAGACATTGGCGGGGAAAGGCAGAAAGAGCCTAGAGAGAACGAGGCCTGAAGCCCCACTGGGGAAAGTTCACCAGGCTGACTGGAGGAGAGAAAAAAACGGATAAATAAGGGGAACCAGCACGGACACTAGCCTCTCTCTCCACTCACCTTACAAAGCCGAGCAAGACAAAGAGCAGGCGCCATTGTACGTATGTAAAGCGGCGCCCACCATTAGCCAAGCAGAAAAACCTGACTCTGGTGGGGAAAAATAACAGGAGGTTAGGACCTAGTGAAAGTGTGGAGCTAACGAACTGAGACTGTGAAAATCTGAGGGGGGGGGGGGCTAGAGAACTCACCGAGTACACAAACTCGGTAACTTTGGAAACCTGGTGAGAGACTGCAGAGAGATTTGAGACCACACTGAGGGCTGCATAAACTCTCTGTGTGGTCCCAGGGGTAGAGCAGATGAATACCCACAGGGGCCAGATTTCATACATCAACCACCCTCAATTCCACTCAGCTGTGCAGAATTACTTCCCAACTGAGTCAAAAAAAAAAAAGAGAAAGGGAGAGCGAGCAAGTGAGAGAACAATCTGGGTGAGTCACCTTTGGCACACCCTTAAACCTGAAGAACCAAACAGAGCTCTCTGGCCACACCCATCACAGCCTCTAAGGATCCATCAAAGGCAGACAGTCCACTTAATCTAGAGTCATAGTATAACGAGAAAAAGCACCACAGTGAAGAAACCAAAGAATATCTCCACAATGTCAAACAAATGCAGAAACTGAGGTAGCAAGAACAAGGAAGACACTATGATGTCCCCAAATGAAAAAGACACTCCAATTCAAGATTATGAAGATGATGAGATAGAAGAAATGCAAGAAACATATCACAAAAAATTGATAAGAACATTAAGAAGTTCTCAAAAACAAATTCTTGAACTACAGAAATCCTTAATGGACACGATAGAAAATCTCTCATGTGAAAATGAAATATTAAGGAGGAATCAAAATGAAATGAAACAACCAGTAGAACATGAAACTGTGATAGTGATGAGAAATCATAATGAAATGAAGAATTCAATAGATCAAATGACAAACACATTAGAGAGCCTTAAAAACAGAATGGGTGAAGCAGAAGAGAGAATATCGGACTTAGAAGACAGAGAACAGGAAAGGATACAGTCAGACCAAAGAAGAGGAAATTAGAAATCTAAAAAATATTGTCGGGAATCTACAGGATACTATTAAAAAACCCAACATTCAGGTTCTAGGAGTTCCTGAAGGCATGGAGAGGGAGAAAGGATTACAAGGCCTTTTTAGTGAGATACTAGCAGAAAATTTCCCAGGTTTGGAGAAGGACAGAGACAACCTAGTACAAGAAGCTCATAGAACCCCTAATAAACATGACCAAAAGAGATCCTTACCACAACACATTGTAATTAAACTCACCACAGTGAAACATAAAGAAAAGATCCTAAAATGTGCAAGAGAGAAACGTCAGATTACTCTCAGAGGATCTCCAATTAGACTCACAGCTGACTTCTCATTGAAAACCCTACAAGCTAGGAGGGAATGGCGAGATATAGCCCAGGTACTAAGAGAGAAAAACTGCCAGCCCAGAATATTATATCCTGCAAAGCTCTCATTTGTTAATGGAGGTGAAATAAAGACCTTTCATAGCAAACAGAAATTGAAACAATTTGTCACCACTCGTCCAGCCCTGCAAAAGATGCTTAAAGATGTGTTACACACAGAAACACGGTCATCAATATGAAAGAAGGTAAAGGAAGGAAACCTCACAGTAAAAGATCACAGGGAATTCAAAGCATATATTAGAAAATAACTTTGGCAAATGGCAGGGCAAAGTTACCGCTTATCAATACTCACATTGAACGTTAATGGCCTGAACTGTCCAGTTAAAAGACACCAATTGGCTGATTGGCTTAAGGAACAAAACCTATCTATTTGCTGCTTACAAGAAACACATCTTTCCAACAAAGATCCATACAGACTGAAAGTGAAAGGCTGGAAAAAGATATACCATGCCAACAGAAATGAAAAAAGAGCGGGCATAGCCATCTTAATATCAGACAACATAAACTTTAACACAAAAACTGCTAAGAGAGACAAAGAGGGGCACTATATAATGATTCAAGAATCAATTCAACAGGAAGATATAATGATTATCAATGTATATGCACCTAACTACAGGGCACCAGTTTATTTAAAAGATTTGTTAAGGGACTTAAAGGGAGACTTAGACTCCAATACAATAGTACTGGGGGACTTCAATACTCCACTCTCAGAAATAGACAGATCAACAGGACGAAAAATCAACAAGGAGACAGTAGATTTAAACGACACTATAGCCCAAATGGATCTAACAGATATATACAGAACTTTCAATCCTACAGCTAAAGATTTTACATTCTTCTCAGCAGTACATGGAACCTTCTCTAGGATTGGCCACATACTAGGCCATAAAGCAAGTCTCAGCAAATTCAAAAGAATTAGAATCATATGATGCAGCTTCTCAGACCATAAAGGAATGAAGTTGGAAATTAGCAACTCAGGAATCCCTAGAGCATATGCAAACACATGGAGATTGAACAACATGCTCCTGAATGAACAATGGGTCATAGAAGAAATTAAAAGAGAAATCAAAAATTTTCTGGAGGTAAATGAGGATAACAGCACAACATACCAAAATTTATGGGATACAGCAAAAGCAGTGTTAAGAGGAAAGTTTATATCAACAGGTGCGTACATCAAGAAATTGGAAAGGCACCAAATAGATGAGTTTTCAATGCATCTCAAGGATCTAGAAAATCTGCAGCAAACCAGACACAAATCTAGTAGGACTTCTCCTACTATTTCTCTTCAGAAATAATTAAAATCAGAGAAGAAATCAACAGGATTGAATCCAAAAAAATTATAAAAAATCAGCCAAACGAGGAGCTGGTTTTTTGAAAAAATAAACAAAATTGACACCCCATTGGCCCAACTAACTAAAAAAAGAAGAGAAAAGACCCAAATCAATAAAATCAGAGATGAAAAAGGAAACGTAACAACAGATACCACAGAAATAAAAAAAATCATCAGAAATTACTACAAGGACTTGTATGCCAGCAAACAGGGAAACCTATCAGAAATGGATAGATTCCTGGACACATGCAACCTACCTAAATTGAACCAGGAAGACATCGAAAACCTAAACAGACCCATAACTGAGACAGAAATTGAAACAGTAATAAAGGCCCTCCCAACAAAGAAAAGCCCAGGACCAGATGGATTCACTGCTGAATTCTACCAGACATTTAAAGAAGAACTGACTCCAATTCTTCTCAAACTATTCAGAACAATTGAAGAAGAGGGAATCCTCCCAAATTCTTTCTATGAAGCCAGCATCACCTTAATTCCTAAGCAGGAAAAAGATGCAGCACTGAAAGAGAATTACAGACCAATATCCCTGATGAACATAGATGCAAAAATCCTCAATAAAATTCTCGCCAATAGAATGCAACAACACATCAGAAAGATCATCCACCCAGACCAAGTGGGATTTATCCCTGGTATGCAGGCATGGTTCAATGTGCACAAAACAATCAATGTGATACACCACATTAACAGACTGCAAAAGAAAAACCATATGATTATCTCAATAGATGCAGAGAAAGCATTTGATAAAATACAATACCCTTTCATGATGAACACTCTAAGCAAACTGGGTATGGAAGGAACATTCCTCAATACAATCAACGCAATTTATGAAAAACCCACGGCCAACATCCTATTGAATGGGGAAAAGTTGGAAGCATTTCCACTGAGATCTGGTACCAGACAGGGATGCCCACTCTCACCACTGCTATTCAATATAGTTCTTGAAGTTTTAGCCAGAGCTATTAGGCAAGAAAAAGAAATTAAAGGGATACAAATTGGGAAGGAAGAACTCAAACTATCCCTCTTTGCAGATGATATGATTCTTTATTTAGGGGATCCAAAGAACTCTACTAGGAGACTATTGGAACTCTTAGAAGAGTTTGGCAAAGTAGCAGGATATAAAATCAATGCACAAAAATCAACAGCCTTTGTATACACAGGCAATGCCATGGCTGAGAAAGAACTTCTAAGATCAATCCCATTCACAATAGCTACAAAAACAATCAAATACCTTGGAATAAACTTAACCAAGGATTAAAGATTTCTATGATGAAAATTACAAAACCTTAAAGAAAGAAATAGAAGAGGATACCAAAAAATGGAAAAATCTTCCATGCTCACGGATTGGAAGAATCAATATCATCAAAATGTCCATTCTCCCAAAAGCAATTTATGCATTCAATGCAATACCAATCAAACTACCAAAGACCTTCTTCTCAGATCTAGAAAAAATGATTCTGAGATTCATATGGAGGCACAGGAGACCTTGAACAGCTAAAGCAATCTTGTACAACAAAAACAAAGCCGGAGGCATCACAATCCAGATTTCAGGCCATACCACAGGGCAGTTGTAATCAAAACAGCATGGTAATGGAACAGAAACAGATGGATAGACCAATGGAACAGAATAGAAACACCAGAAATCAATCCAAACATCTACAGCCAACTTATATTTGATCAAGGATCTAAAACCAATCCCTGGAGTAAGGACAGTCTATTCAATAAATGGTGCTGGGAAAACTGGTTTTCCACGTGCAGAATCATGAAGCAAGACCCCTACCTTACACCTTACACAAAAATTCACTCAACATGGTTTAAAGACTTAAATCTATGACCGGACACCATAAAATTATTACAGAGCATTGGAGAAACCCTGCAAGATATAGGTAATGGCAAAGACTTCCTAGAAAAGACCCCAGAAGCACAGGCAGTCAAAGCCAAAATTAACATTTGGGATTGCATCAAATTGAGAAGTTTCTGTACTTCAAAAGAAACAGTCAGCAAAGTGAAGAGGCAACCTACAGAATGGGAAAAAATATCTGCAAACTATGAAACAGATAAAGTGTTGATAACCAGAATCTACAAGGAAATCAAAAAACTCCACAACATCAAAACAAACAACCCACTTAAGAGATGGGCCAAGGACCTCAATAGACATTTTTCAAAAGAGGAAATACAAAGGGCCAACAGACACATGAAAAAATGTTCAAGATCACTAGCAATCAGGGAAATGCAAATCAAAACCACAATGAGGTTTCACCTCACCCCGGTTAGAATGGCTCACATTCAGAAATCTACCAACAATAGATGCTGGCAAGGATGTGGGGAAAAAGGGACACTAACCCACTGTTGGTGTGAATGTAAACTGGTAAAGCCACTATGGAAGTCAGTCTGGAGATTCCTCAGAAACCTGAATATAATCTTACCATTCAACCCAGCCATCCCACTCCTTGGAATTTACCCAAAGGAAATTAAAATGGCAAACAAAAAAGCTGCCTGCACCTTAATGTTTATTGCAGCTCAATTCACAATAGCTAAGACCTGGAACCAACCCAAATGCCCATCAATAGTGGACTGGATAAAGAAATTATGGGACATGTATTCTATAGAATACTATACATCAGTCAAAAACAATGAAACCCAGTCATTTGCAACAAGATGGAGGAATCTGGAAAACATTATGCTGAGTGAATTAAGCCAGTCCCAAAGGGACAAATATCATATGTTCTCCCTGATTGGCAACAACTAACTGAGCACCAAAAGGGAACCCTGTTGAAGTGAAATGAACACTATGAGAAACAGTGACTTGATCAGCTCTTGTCCTGACTGTTGAAGTACAATGTAATACTTTATCCATTTTAGTATTTTTTTGTTCTAGTACTATTGGTTGAACTCTGTAATTAACACACAATTATTCTTAGGTGTTGAAATTTTAACTGAAAAGTGATCCCTGTTAAATATAAGAGTGGGAATAAGAGAGGGAGGAGATGTACAATTTAGGACATGCTCAATCGGACTTGCCCCAAATGGTGGAGTTAGAAATGTGCCAGGGGATTCCAATACAATCCCATCAAGGTGGCATGTACCAATGCCATCTCACTATTCCAAGTGATCAACTTCAGTTCACAATTGATCACATTGATAGGTCTAAGAGTCAAAGGGATCACACAAACAAGACTAGTGTCTGCTAGTACTAACTGATAGAATCAAAAAGGGAGAGAACGATCCAACGTGGGAAGCGGGATACACAGCAGACTCATAGAATGGCAGATGTCCTAACTAGCACTCTGGCCTCAGAATCAGCCCTTAAGGCATTCGGATCTGGCTGAAGAGCCCATGAGAGTATTTTAGGCAATGGAAAGCCAAGACACTCTGGAAAAAAAAAAAAAGAAGACCTAAATGAAAGATCTCTGCTAGTGAGATCCCAGTGGAAAGAACGGGGCCATCAAAGAAGGAGGTACCTTTCTCTGAAGGGAGGAGAGAACTTCCACTTTGACTATGATCCTGTTGGAATAAGATCAAAGTCGGCAAACTCAAAAGGCTTCCATAGCCTTGGCAACTCATGACTAGAGCCTAGGGAGATTACTGATGCCATAAACAAGAGTGTCAAATTGTTAAGTCAACAACAGGAGTCACTGTGTACTTACTTCTCATGTGGGATCTGTCCTTAATGTGTTGTCCAATGTGAAGTAATGCTATAACTAGTACTCAAACAGTATTTTTACACTTTGTGTTTCTGTGTGGGTGCAAACTGATGAAATCTTTACTTAATATATACTGAATCGATCTTCTGTATATAAAGATAATTGAAAATCAATGACTTCCCTGGCCCCGCTCTGTTGCTCTGTTGGGACCGGGGAACCTCACCCGGGAGCGGAACCCCAATAAAAGCCTATGAATTAAAAAAAAAAGAAAAGAAAATGAATCTTGATGTGAATGGAATGGGAGTGGGAGGGAAATTATGGGGGGGGGGAGCCAATGTAAACCATAAACTGTACCTTGGAAATTTATATTTACTAAATTAAAAAAAAGGAAAGGCAGAGAGACAGAGAGAGGAGTCTTCCATCTGCTGGTTCACACCCCAAATTTCCACAACAGCCAGGGCTGGGCCAGAATGAAGCCAGGTGCCAGGAACTCCATCCAGGCCTCTCACATGGGTGTCAAGGGTCCAAGTACTTGGTTCACCATCTGCTGACTCCCAAGCACATTAGTAGGGAGCTGGATCACAAGTAGGGCTCAATTCCAGGCACTCCAATATGGAATAAAGGCATTCCAAGCAGCAGCTTAACCTGCTGTGCCACAACACCCAGCCTCAAACTCTGTGAAGTGCATACGCACATAACATGAGACTGATCATAAGAAACAGGCACATGTGATGGTACAGGCTGGGAAGTCCCGTGATCTGCCAGGGACAAGCAGGGGAACCAGGAAGGGCAGTGCTGCGGTCCAGGGCTGGGGACCTAGGGACCAACAGTGGATTCCAACCAGGTCTGAAAGTGATGACCAATGGTGCAGATGTTGACCAAGTCCAAAGGTGAGGACTAAGGTGACAATGGTGCACATGTTGGCCAAGTCTGAAGGTGAGGACCAGGAGGACCAAGGGCAGGAGCAGGCTGATGTCCCAACTCAAGCAGTCAGGCAAGGAGCCAGGGAGATATACATTCCTGCACTGTTTCCTGTATTGGTCCCTAGAGATTGGGGTGATGCCCACCCACACAAGGGAGGGTCTTCTGCCATACTCATCTATCCACCCTAAGGCTAATGTCCCCACAGACACACCCAGAAGTCATATCTGACCGGAATAAGCATCCTCTGACCCAGTCACAGTGATACATAGATAAATATGGATGGACACACAGACAGGAATCAGAAAAGAGATGCAGAGGTACAGCACAGAAACGTAAGAAAAGACTCTGACAGGAGAGAAAAATCCAAAGCATGGGAAGGTGACAGTGTAGAGAACAGAAGGAAATTTCAGATGTGTGTTAATGTCTTCAGCGTTAGGGTCAAATACTCCATCTATATTGTATGTAAGTCAGGAACACTGGAGAATAGGGGAAAATATCACAATTAAAAATATAATTAACATCAATATACAACTTTAATAAATAGTTGGAAGATAAATTTAAAGAAATCACTCAAAAAATAATAAAAAAGGATGGAATTATATGAGAATATTAGGGATGAAACCGACTAATCCAAGAGGTCCAGCCTCTGAAAAGCATAAAAAGGAAGGTTTCCAAAAATGAGACCAAGAACACAAGTGAAAGTTATTAGGGAAACATCAATTCAAGAAAATTTCTCATATTTAAAATATGAAGCATGAGGTAGAATGGCTACTGCAGTGCCCAGCACAGGGCTGGAAAAGCATACAAGACTGGACATCTTAATGATACCGCAGAGGATTCAAGGTAAAGGAAATGATGTTGAAAGAATTTCAGAGAATGTGCGGGAGCGAAAGCAGCATCCCTATCATATCCAAAGCAGGAGAATCAGAATGAGCTGGGATTTCTCAATGACTCTGAGTTACAAATCCAGACTGATCACACTCCCTGACAGCCAATGCTGAACTAAAAGTCCTAAAGGAGCTCTCTGTCCAGCCAAGCTCCCAACCTAGTGTGCGACTGATCAAAGATATTTTGAGATGTAGGACAATGCAAAAGCATTACCTTCCATTTCCTTCTCTTTGGAAGTCATTGGAGGGTGTGATCCAGCAAAATAAAAAAATAAATGGAGAAAGAGCTGCAGGAAATAGATTCAACCCAGAAGAGCAGAGGAAGTCTTGTATTCCCAACAGATGGTGCCGAGGACAGAGGGCTCCAGATGCCTAGAGCTCGTCATGGCTCATCCAGACGCGAGGATACTTGTTGAGAAAATGAAAAGCAGGAGGAGGTGATGCAGCCAATAAGGAAATATGGAAACCTATAACAGGAACAACATAAGCCTGGTCTACTACTTGGTTCTACCAAAATCAATGTGCACACAGTTAGAAAACGCATTAAATAGGATGATAACACAAGGAGGAACAATGACCGCATTAATCCAAGACAAGATGAAAGCAGGGTATACCTACAATACACTTCGTGAATCTGCAAGGAAGAATTCACACAGTTAGCAATACACACTGATCACTAGCTTAACTGAAATAATGTGACAGTAATCCTGGAAGAAAGAGAGCTAGGAAGAGGTAGAAAAGGAGAGTTGAATCCTCACACATGAGAGAAAAGTAAAAAACCAATGTGCAAAGTCAGTGAGCTATTCACAGCAACACTGCATTCCACCCAGTAACACAGGAAAACTCCCTGAAGGGCTGCACACTGTCTCTTCCCAGGAGCAGATCTGGGTGAAAGGGAGGTGCGATCACACCAGTAAGGTCTCGTCTGGGTATGTGATGTCCAAGTATGTCTCAGACTGAGCATCACAAATCTAAAATCCAAACTGCTCCAAGATCCAAAACTGAAAAGTCTACATCATGAAACTTTGTCTAATGCGCAATATTTTTAAAGCGCAGTAAAATCACCTTTGGGTTATGTATGTAAGGTACACATGAAACACAAGTGAATTGCACATTCAGCCCCCTCCCCAAGGTAGCTCGTGGTGCATATGCAGATATGCTGGGACTTCCACAAGTATCCAGAGAATGATTTTTGTGTCAAAAAAGAAACTTGAAATCTACACATATAAGGAGTCTTCAAAAAGTTCATAAAAATGCACATTATGAAATAACTATACATGCATTTCAAAAGCTTTTGTACCAAAATAAACTTATCTTTTAATTTCACTTTTTAGAAATCTGAAATCTGAAATATTTCTGGTCCCAAGCATCTTGATAAGGAGTCCTCAATCTGTGTCTTATTTCTCAAGCTGTGTGCATGCATTATTTTTGCTAAACATGAAACTTAAAAAGAGAGATGCTGGAGAGTCTGGGGATGCCTTTCCTAACTCTACCATTTGTGAAAGAACCAGTCGGATCCAGACATGTGGCTACCTTGCTAGTGTTTACTCCTTTCCAGTGGACGAAACGCTCACCTGTCTATTTATGCTGTTTAGTTTTCACAGTACGGGGAGGAAGGTACTATTTTCTTAGTTACAGACAAGGCAAGCAATTTGAAGATGCATGGATAACTTGTCCAGAGTCATACAGCAGACCTGGAGTTTCATCTGTGCCTCCACTTTAATCTGCTCTCCTGAGATTGAAACATCGCAGTCCATTCCATCAGAGCCAAAAGTATTGGGCTACAAACATTTTGCAATGCCAAGAAACAGGTGCTAAGAATATTTCTCAAAGTTTAATGGTCCAGACCCATCGTATTTCATGTCACCAGACCCTAATCTATTCCCCAGAAGTCAGATTCTTCAGAATCTGTTCTCTGAAACTTTCGTCTCAAGTCCCAGCAAATGGGAAGATAGATGTTTCTCCACTGCCCACTTACTTGTGTGTGAGCTCCTACTGTGATCGCCACCTCCTGCCATAGCACCCCACCCTGTTTCCCTCATTCAGGCTGCATCTGCATCTCCAACGTGCACATTACTTAACACTGGTGAGTGCACATCCTGATCCATGTCTGTTTCCTCTCCCACACTGCCAAACCAATGCCTTCCTTCCAATGCCAAGTGGCAATAAACCCACACCCGCCACGGGGATGCTATACCCTAGAATTTCTCAGTCTCCTAGAAAGTATTATTCATGATTTGTTTAATACAGGAAATGACAGAAGCTAGTGACCAGCAGGGATTGGGGTCTTTGGCTGGGCACACGGTCTCATAAAAGCCACAGCAACCAGTTAGTGGCAGCCAGGGTCTTTAACCATTTTCAAGGCTCTGGTACACTTGAGTGCATGCCTTGGGAAGGGACTCGAGTCCCAGCAGTTCCATGGAACCATGTATCTCATTCTGCACACCCAGAACAGCATGCAGACAATCAGGGTGGGCCAGAACCACCACCCTCAGTCATCTCCTCCCAAAACATGAAAAATCTGCCAAGGACCCACTCTCACAAACTGGCTACCCAGGCATCAGCCACATAGCAGGCCACACAGCTCAGGGAGAATGGCGTGGCAGGGAATGTGGGCCATCCGCCATGGTCAGGCTGCCCAGCAAATAAGCTGGAGCAATAAGGCAATTCGCTTCACTTGTATCAGTCACAGCTGAAGAATGGGAGTGGCTGCACTGTCAGGGCGCTCTGAGCAGGTCTGCCCTTTCAGAAACACAAAGACCCAGGAGGGAGCATCCACTTTGAGGATGCTAGATATGGGTATGAGCTACAAGTCCCACCACACATCTACATGAAGTCTTCACAGTGCAAAACTCTCCACGGCAGGGAAGTCACTGACTGCACTTAGAATTAAAATACAGTTCTCTAAAATGATCACCTATAAACATTTCCCACTCTTCCCAACTCTAACATATTTATCAAAGAAATAAAATTCCAATAAGCCAAAATTTTACTTTTATTAAGCCCAAATATCAAACAGGCTATGCATACGACATTACTGCTCAATACAAGAAAATTCAAAATATTTTACTAAGAAATCATTTTCTGCCAGCACAGTAAATTTTTTATCCAAAAATTTTCCCAAGACATTCATATAAAATAGAAAAGGCATTATTAAGCATGGAAACCAACCTGTAAAAAATGGGCAAGATGCATGAACAGGCAGCTCGGGAAAGACAAAATGCAAAGGATCGATAGGATCAAAGGAAATGACACAGGACTTCCCCAGAGTCCAGAAAGAAGAGATAGGTATGTTTGCCTTCAGGCAAAACCAAACTTTCAAAAACCTGAGCAATTCCAGTGCTGGCGAGGATGCAAGCAAATGAACAAAATCAGATTTTCTGACCAGAGGATGACGTTGGAAATCTGTGTGGCAACACTCAGGAAAACTGTGCATACCTTTGCTCTGGCCATTGGCCTGGGGAGATGTAAGCTTCAAAGAAAGCCCCAGGAAGAGGACCCATCAACTTAAAAAAGTTCATGGAAAATATTATTTTTTTTAAAAAGTACATATTTCTAAGCTTTTTGTACCAAAATAAATGTACCTTTTTCCATTCCATTTTCCACAAATGTTTGGCAGTGATCTCCAACATGAATGGAGAGAACCAAACCTGAACCAGGCAGCAGCAGGCAGCAACAAGAACTTCACCCCCAGGCAGAGGACGGCCCATATCCCAGGAAGGATGTGGCTGTGGGATGAATATGAGAGAAGGTCAGACAGCAGAGAGAGTTCAGGGTCACCAGGAAGGAATGTCCACTTGCTGTTAGGAACAGAACTGTGAACCTCCAAACTGTTATGCTGAAGAGCTGACCCCTTGGCTCAGTGGTGATTTCATCAGGAAACAGGGTCATTGCAGTTAAGATGAGGTCCTACTGGAGTAGTGAGGGCCCCTAATCCAGTGTGACTGTTGACCTTACATGGAGCGGAAGTTCGATCACATGGGGAATGCCGTGTGAACACTGGAGTCCAGATGTCACGGGCCACAGAACTGCCAGGAGCTGGAGAAGCAGCCTGGGCACAACCTCCCTGAGCCTTGCAGGAAGTGTGGCTCTGCTCAAGCCAAATCTCAGACAATGGGCTGCAGGGCCACAAGAGGAGAAATTGCTAGTGTTGAAGCCATTGGCTGGTGGTGCTCTTAGGGCAGGTCTAGTAAACTAAGACCCAAAAAAACCATTACTCATATGTATATGACCTCAAATTATAGAGAAAATGTTAGCATACAATGTGCTAATAACACCCAAATTTTATAAGAAAAAAACATATAGCCACGTGCCACAGGATAAAGTTTGCTCCTGAAGAGACTGTATATATGATGGCGGCCCGGTGAGGTTATGGCACCCAGTATGTCATGGTTGCCTTTGGTCGCGCATCTCTGACACGTCTAGGTAAGTACAAATGGTGATGGTGTGTCAGTGACATCACCTTGAAGCTCCCAGCTCAGGCCCCAGGCTGGCACAGGACGGCCCAGGAGCTGCTCTGCAGAACCTCAGGGTCCAAAGCACCCCATGAGCTCAGGTGTCCCCATCTCATGCTTCCCCTGCTCACATCTGGAGACCAAGTCCCCCCTTCTCATCCTTCTTTCCACAGAGTATCAATCCAGCCCTGAGACCCACTCAGAGACCACCAGTTTTCCAGGAACACAAGACCCTCCTTTCACTCAGCTTTGGCAACAAAGCTTAGCAGCGTTCAGTAGGCCACCTGCACACCTGCCCGAGTCCCAGCTGGGTGTTCACCTGGGAACTCGGTCTGTGAAGCCATGGACCACCAAAGTCCCTGAGTCAGGCACTCAGACTTCTTTTTGTGTTAGTTTCTTTTTTCTTGGTTTATCTGACTTTATTAATCAAGCTGGTCAAAACAGTCCAAATAAGGCAGAAATATCAAGCGTGGACAAAAATGGAGAAGCCAGCATCGTGCAAAAACACCACCATCTTTATGAACACAACTTCAAGAAACCTCAGAACCACTTGGAGCCCTGGGAAGCACACGCCCTTCCACATTCCTGGGCCAAAAGCTCAGGGTTGGTGGGGACACCCCACAGTCAGCATCCCACTCCTGCACTCCTGCAGCTGAGCTGCTTGCCTCAATTTTACCTTCCTTTTTCTAATTTAATTTGTACTTGAAGAAAAGCAGTTCATAAATGATAAATAAATACCCCAACATTCTGTTGAAAATTAACAGAGCCTTGCGAATGGCAGGCAGCACTGTGGCATCATGCATAAAGCTGCCGCCTGTGATGCCAGCATCCTAGATGGGCACCATTTTGTGTCCTGGCTGCTCCACTTCCAAACCAGCTCCCAGCTGATGGCCTGAGAAAGGCAGCAGAAGCCAGCCCAAGTGTCTGGACTCCTGCCTCCCATGTGGGAGACCTGGAAGAAACTTCTGGCTCCTGACTACAGCCTGGCCCAGCCCAGGGCTGTTAGGGCCATCTGGAGAGCGAACCAGAGGATGGAAGGTATTTTCTCTTTCTCTTTTCTCGTTTTTGTCTCTCTCTCTCTCACTACTCTCTCTCACCCCGACTTCTGCCTTTTCTCCTCTCTCTCTCCATCTAACTTAAATAAATAAATCTTTAAAAAAAAACTTGTCAAACTTCATGCAATAGAAATAGATGACACCAAAATTAGAACTCAAATTCTGACTCCGCCTGCTGGGACTCCAACACTTACCTATTTAGCAATCAGTGTTGTAATCCCTGCTGTACCAGGCCCTGCACAGCAACAACAAAGATGGAATCTCGGCCCACAAGGGTACTAAGCAGCATGTTATCTGCATGTTGCACAAACTTCTCCAAATGGAGGCCAATGGGCACAAGTCGCAAATACACAATGCTGGAATCACTTGGTGTATTCCCATGCATTTACTAAAACATGTCCAAAATTAAACATTAAATTCCAGAAAATTCCCAAATTGACCTGACATATCCTAATGTAAAGGAAAGAGGAAAAAAACCATCAGAGACCAGTGATCAGCCCAAGAATGCAGCCTGTGTGCAGGCAGACATCCACAATGCTTGCAGTGGAAAGGGAGCCTGGAAACTTGGTGGACAGCCTCCAGCAGCCTCCCAAGCTGACTCCACACCCAAACTCAGAACCCACATGTCTCTCCTCATACACAGGACTGGTAAGACAGCGATCTCCTCTAGGATGGTAGGTGGGAGTGAAATGTCCTATTCACTTAAGAGTGTGTCACATTTGCAGGGTTCGTGGTAGTGGTGATGGTGCAGAAGGGGCCGATGCTCCAGTCGTGGCTGCGGGCTGTCCCGAGCCTACATCCCACCTGGCATCCGCAGGTACTCAGAACCCCAGGTGTCGACACGCACTGCACTGTACTTCAGCCGAGTCCCATGGGAATCAGAGGTGTAGGACTGTCCAAAGAGAAGGGAAATGATACTGCATTTAGGCACCAACCAGGACTCCCAGTCTGCCCCTTTAACTTGATCTGGTGTCAGGCACAGGGAGCCACAGAGAAAAGCCACGAGAAGGGCCTCCCAGCCCTGTGTTCTGAGGGCATCAGGGAGGGCTGGCTGGGCAGAGCCCCTCGCCTCCAATCATGGGTCACCAGCACTGGCAACACCCTTCCCTGGAACCTAGAGCTGTCTGTCTGCAATAGACATTCCCAGTGCAGCACACGATGTTGCTAAATAAATACAAAGCAGGGATGGTGTTAGACCGTATCCTCCACGTGTGCAGTAAAAGCCATCTGCACAGCTCAGCTCTGCTGGCAAAGGCTCTTCAGTGTTGCAGAGACGCCACGTGGAGAGGCCCCGGGGAAGGAACTCACAAAGAGGAAAGTGGTTTTCTGTCCCCGCGTTGAGACTAGAGAAGACAACAAAGTGGCTACTACCCTCGGACACATCCAGGAAGCACAGAGCATGCTCGGTCCCACTGGCAACCAGATCCCATCCTCTAAGAGAAGGGACTAACACTACAGCACCCCAGGACATGCCGACCCTCAGAAAGCACTGCCCCTGACCCACACAATGGCCCCACAGCCCTCACCTCACATCTGTGCTGACTCCAGGTGAGAAAGGCTGACATCAAAGAGGTTTCTCTTAGGACTTACATCAGGTGCTGGGAGACAAGGGTTCAAGTTCACCTGGGAAGTTCATGGTGTAGTGAAGGGAAGTAGAGAAGCAGGGCACTGGGCTAATCCCGCAGGACCATCTGGCTCATACGTCAGCTCTGACAGCACGCACACCACCTCCCCAGCACTGTGTTCCACAGGTGTGGCTGCCGGCTCAGGGTGGGAGAAGCCCCCGGACTGAGGCCCAGCAGCTAGTACAGGTGTGAAGGGAGAGAGCTGACAGTATCTCCCCGGAGACCACAAGGGAACCTGAGTTACCATGCAGGTAGACAGCAGAAGTGGGGTTACAGTCACCTAGCACAGTGGCCTTCCTCAGGTGGCTCTCCTGTGTGTGTGTGGGGGGGGGGGTGCACATGCACGCCATAGCACACCATATAAATATGGCAGAAAGGGAGGGAGCAAGCAAGTGAGCACGCGCACTCTCATCCACTGGTTCACCCCCGGACGCATGCAACAGCCAAGTCAACGCCTGCCCAGCACTCCACCCAGGTCTCCTACATCGGTGGCAGGGATCCACTGACTTGGGCCACCACTGCTGCCTCACAGAGTGTACATCAGCAGGAAGCTGGAATCACGGGAAGGGACTCAAACCCAGGCACTCTGGTGTTGAACACGGGCATCCCAAGTGGAATCTTAACTTTGCACATATGCCCCCCCACCCCGCATCTCCCCTCTAAGCCCACTACTCTCTCCACGGGAGGTACAGGGTTGTGCTGACAACATTTTAAGGATAGCTGCTCTCCCCTTGGCAGGCAACCACAACATCACGCCTCTGGACACCTGGACTCTTGTCAGCAGCTCAAACCTCTCTCTTCACATCTCCCTGCTTCTCCTGAGCGCCCTCAGCAGGCTTCTCAGAGCAGCCCAGCTCACAGGTGAACCTGGACCCAGGGACTGACCCTCTGATTGAGGCAGCCTGATGGCTTTGGCCAGCATCTTTCCTCAAATGCCCCTTGGTGCTGTGGGAAAAAATCGAACAGCAAACGCCAGGACACACATGGCCTCTGAACCCCCAGCCAGGGCAGAGAGCATACGGCCCCTGAATAAGGAGGAGCTGGTGCACCTGGGTCTACAGGTGGTGCACGCAGGCCAAGAGCTCTGAAGCCTCAGGCACCCAAAGTGGAGGGGATAAGATGGTGAGACCCAGCCCCAGCCAGGCCCCATTCTCTCCAGGGTAAAAGATGTCTCTCGGAGCTCCTGGGAGGATTATGTGGCTGGTGTCAGCATGGAGAGGCTCTTCCTGCTGACCTCAGGGAGTGCAGAACACATACTGACAAAGTATTTAATAGTGAGTAGTAATCAAATAAGGGCCTGGATATGTGAGCAATCTTCAAAACCCTCATGGAAAATTTTTGTGTATTATGACAAAACTATGCACGTATTTCCAGACTTTCTGCATAAACATCTTTTTTTCTTCGCACTTTTCTATGAACTTCTGAAGCACCCTCATGCGGTCTGTTAGAGACAAATCAGAACAGTGAATCCACAAGATGTCTTCCTGCTTCTGGGCAGTGCACGGCTTTTTTGTTGCCGAACTGCAAATACCACACGTTTAGCAGCTGAAACCAACAACTGGCTCCTCTTAGTCCCCAGGGATCAGAACTGCTGGCTTAGCTGGTCTCCTGCTCCATGGCTCACAGAGCTAAATCCTGGTGTCCACTTGCTGGGACCACACCTACAGCCTGGGGCAAGTTCCCCTCAAATCCCTCTGGGTGCCGAAGGAACTCACTTCCTGGTGGCTGCATGAGGCCTCCTCTCAGCTCCTCGCGACAGTCCTGGGTCCTGATTCACCACCTTGTGCACCTGAGGGACTGTGATCAACTCGCAGGACAGTGACTGCTGTCGCTGATGTCACAGACAGGCCATCACTCAGGAAGCGGCGCCCCACCATGCTTAGAGCCAAGGCCACATTAAAAGGGGGAGAGCCGCCTAGCTGGATTTTAAATTTTGCTCAGGAAATGTCTTCCTAGTTGGCAACTTACTGTCCCAGAACTACACTTTTCTCACCTATCTCAGAAGAACAAAGACTTCTCGGTTAGCTGGAGTTTGGAGCGCCAAGCTTCTGTCTGAAAGCAAAGCCTCTGCACCTGAAAGCCACCTGCACAAACCCATTACCGCTTCCTTAGCTGGGAGGCTGGGAGGCGGCACGTTCTGTCAGGAGAGGGCTCTTCCTCCTTCAGGGACATGCTACCTGGCTACAGGGTGGGAAGGAAGAACCAGAACTCAGGAGCCGTGCGACTTTCAGTCCAACTGAGCTTTCCTGACTACTGACTTTTGTGAACTTGGGAAATAACCTATAAAGTAACTGAAGGATGAGAAGTGTCGATCAGAGGGGAACCGAGGACACCGAGCCCTCACCTGCCGATGGAAACGCGCGCGTGTCTGCTGGCGTCTCCGCTGGGGAGCCGGAGGACCGGACGACCCCTCCCCACTCCTCCAACCCCACGCTCTGGGAAAGGACGAGCAGGAGGGAGGAAAAACCCTCAAGACAAGAAAAAGCTAATTATATCTGCAGAGCAGACTGGCAGGAATTATATCTGGCGTACAGACTGTTGAAGCATCTTGTTGGTATGGTCAGCCTCTTCCTAATTCGGCATTTTCCACCCAGAAACCACCCTTCCCTCGTCTGAGGCGAAGCGGAGCCTCCCTCCCGGCCTTGGAACCTGTCGGGGGGGTGGGGGGGGTCAGCTGCCTCCCGTTTCTCCTCAGCAGGGCGAGGTCTTCTCTCCACACTGACCCGGTCCTGCTCCCCTGCCCAGACACCAGCTTTGCTCACAATTCCTTATGTTCCTGCATCAAATTAAATTAACCGGCTGGATCCTGACAGGCCGCAAATCAATAGTAGCCGAAATCCTTAAAATATTCATGTGCTGGCTTCTCCCGGGACGTGCCTCCACGAGGAAGCAGCAGCTCGCCCGCCCGCCCGCCAGGCAGCGCGCAGGGGAGGTGCTGGCGGCTCTGGACTCCTCTCATTCCACACTGCTTCCTCTGTGCGTGCTCTCAGCAGACAATGCAGAGACAGGGAGTCCTGGGGCAGTGAGGACGAGACGGGCCTAGGAGTCCACCCTGGGTTTCCTGGGTGTGAGCAGACAGACGGCTTCTCAGACAACACATGGCACAGCTCCGACAGGGCTACTGAGAGCCCATCCGTGGGCTGCAGCAGCCCTGGCCTAGACTGGCAAAGTTCTGCCCACCACACTCTGCTAGGGGCTCCACACCTGCCCTGTCCCTGGGGGACAGATGTTGAGTAACCACCGGTGGGACCTGGAACTCGTGCGCCTGCGGGAGCCACGCTGGGCCACGCACACCTCTGTCTCTCTGCCTGCTTTTATCTTCCACGGGCTTTGCGGTTGTAGCCTCGTTTGTGTTTCCAAAATTGCTTCGTGTGCATTCTCTGTTTTTAAATGAATGTTTTCATTTTAATTTTAGGAGGAACTCTGAAGCCATCTCCACTGACCCTGTTTGCCATTTTTCATTTCAGCTTGCTGTGTTCCCTCTCACACTTTATGAGGAATTAATCAATTATTTACTTCCTACTTCCCTTAATTGAATAGCTGATTAATTTAATTAATCATTTTTTTTTTTTAGTCTACGTATTTAGAGCTCTGCACTTCCCTTAGGCACCCTACAGTGTGGTGCACTTATGGCTGTTCAGTATGGAATATCTCTTTCTCACCCACTGGGATCTTTAAGCCACAGAATTATTCCCACAACAAAAATTGTTTGTATGTAATAGGTACAAATCTAAATTAATAAAATGTGAATATGTACAACTACATACACCTATATTCATAACACATATAGACCATGCTTGATGGGAAAAAATGGCTAACCAAAAGCATAATGAAGAATGTGCAATAAGACCATATATGTCACCGCTCTGAAATGACCACTTGCCCTTGTTGACAACCACCTTCATGTATGGCCTTCACATGTCCTTGTGTACACACACACACACACACGTCTAAGAACAGATGCCTACACAGGATATCTTTTCATAGGTGTGACTTTGCTTTCCAAATGAATGAGAGTGAAAAAGCAGTTTTCACCTTTTCTCTATATTTTGTTGTACTGCTGTCAGCCATGGTGGCATTAGTCCGTAACTCTTTGGGTTTCTGAGAATTTCCTTATGGCCCAATACATCTGTCATGTTTTTAAAATCTTCTATTTGTTCTTGAGCATATGCAGTCTCTGTTGTTGCTTTCCTGTGTGCACAGCAAGATTGATTGTATTACTGAAATAATCTATAGCCTAACTTTTTGTCAAACTCATCTATCAGTTTCTGGAAGAGACTTGGTAATAATTTTCACTATGATTACTGATTTTTCAATTTCTACTTATAATTCTGTTGAAGTTTTTCATATATTTTGCAAGAACACAAAGTTAGGTACATACAAGTTTGTCACCACCCTAAGTCATTGATAGATATTTCTTTTGTCCATTTTATCCACAGTATTTTCTTTAAAATATATACATCCCACATAAAAATAGCTACATTAATTATGTTTCTGTTAACATTTTCCTCGCACAATTTTTACCTTGCTTTATTTCCAACCTTTAAATGTAATTATTTTACGTATTTTTTATAAATACAGCAGAATCTTTTCAATATCAAGTCTCTGTCTTATAATAAGTGAATTTTAGCTAGTTATTGTGATTGAACTATTTCTAGCACATTATTCTATATAACCCATTCACTATTTAAAATTTCCTAATTTTATTTCTCCTTTTCTACCTCCCGTCAGATAAACTGTCTTTGGAAACCTTAATTTTTTCCGTCTCTTTGCTTAGCAGCTGTTGACTGTTGCATTCTGCACGCTGGACGCTCCTTTTACTTTTTCCTAACTCGCACACATCGTGTATCTGTAACTACACATGGACTTCTGCACAGACCTCCAAGTAAGAGCCTATGACCGGCTTTTCCTCTGCAAACTTCGCCCCCAGACCCCACGGGGTCACTGCTGCAGTTTCTAACCCCCCCCCCCGCCCCCGCACTCTAAGATCAGGACACGCGGTGACCGTGCGCGCGCTCACGGCCTCAGCCCTCGGGAACCGCGTGGGCGCGCGGGCCGCCCGGGCGTTCTCACCCCTCGGGGACCTCTGCGGTGCCGGGACGCGGTCCTCACCAGCTCCTGCGGCTTTGTGCCCCGCGCGTGTGCCCCGGGCTGCCCACGCCGCGGCCCAGCTCCGACCCTGGGCTGAGTCCTCCTGGCCCTCGCCTCAGGAGGCAGCGGCGGGCCCGGGGAGAGCCCCGCGCACACACCCGCACTGGTGCCGGCAAACTCGCGTTTCCCACGCGCGGACCCGTGGAGCGGCCCCTGCGGCGTTTTCTGCGTCCAGCAAAGACCCTCCGAACCGCTCCCGCCGGCCCCACGCGGGTCCGGCCCTGGCCGGCGTGGCCGCCGCTCTCGAAGGCCCCGCCCACGCACGTCGCCCGTGGCGCCCCGCCCCCTCCGCGTGCCGAGCGCAGAGCTTCCGCATCCGGGTCTCTCCAGTGACTTCCTGGCGGGAAGCACGCTGAGCTTCCGCATCCGGGTCTCTCTAGTGACTTCCTGGCGGGAAGCGCGCTGCGGGGACTGGGCGCCGACGCCGCGTCCGTCCCACGCCTTCGGCTGGACCACGAGGCGCTTCTGTTCGCGAGGGCACCGACACGGGAGTCGGCAGGGCGGAGGGCTCAGCCCGCCGCGGGATGCAGCGAAGCGGCGCTCTGTGGGCCCCAGCATGCTCTGCGCTCGGCCTGACTGCTGCATCTGGGGTGGGGCCGGGACCCCTGGGTGGGGACAGTGCTGTCCCCAGGCCGTCTGTGGATGCTTCCATGGGTGACAGTGGACGTGACGGTGACAGCACCAAGAACGCGTGCGCGCGGTGCCACAGCATGGCCGTTCTCACCCGCCAGCGGCGTTCTCCGCGTGTGGAAGTGTGGCGGTGACGCGCGCGGCCTGCCTGTGGGCGGCCCAGCCCCTACCGCCGCCCTGGACTAATTACCGGTGCTGCCGCTGCCCCTCAACGGTGTCCGATTCACCTTGGCTTGCAGAACTCTCAGTCCTGAAGGGGAGGCAGCAGGCAGGACCACCATCCCATCAGAGGTGCAAAGCAAGAGCCTCCCCTCCCCCACCCCAACACGCGCGCGCACACACACGCACGCGCGAGAATGCAGCGGGCACACTGAGGAGGCCGCCGGCCAGGAAGGCTGATGGCCAGGAAGGAGGCCACTGAGGGCTTCCGCAGCAGGCAGCGCCCGCTAAGAGGCAGGCGGAGAGCTTGGCTCGGACTGAGGACCAGGAGCCGCGTGGAGCAGCCGACGGGAGGCGTAGGGCAGTCTCGGCTTGAGGCTGGGCTTGAAGGAGCCTCCAGCCTTCTGTGTGCCCTCCCGGCCTCCCGAGGGAAGTCCCGGTGCCCTGTGCTCTGCAGGTTAGTCTGGGCCAGCTGAGAACCCAGTGCCTGGAGGAGAACGGGGCAGTGTGCCGGGAGGTGCCCCGGGCCCCGCTGGTAAGGTGGGCGGGCAGGAGGGTGAAGGGAGTGGCTCCACAGACACAAGGGAGCCAGGCCCGGGAGTGTCTCCTGGTTAGGGTGTCCCGTCCATCATATCACTGACAACTCCAGAAACCTGCACACCATGGCACCACATAAGCCTGAGTGTCGTCCAGTGTGAGCGTAATACACAAATCCGAGCCAGTGGCTGGCCTGGAGACTCAGAACCAGAGATGCCCGGGTCGAGAGACCTGGCTCAGGAAGGTCCTGCGGTCCCCGGGGCTCTGGAGATCCAGAGGTCAGAGGCTGCTTCCGGGGGCTCGGACGCCGCAGCCTTGGGCGTGTTGGACTTTCAGGTGTGTGTGTGATTTCAGGAGCCTTTGTTCTTTTCGGGGAAGGATGAATCAACCACCCTGCATCCCAATTTTGCAAGAGCTCTGACACTTCGATTTTCCTCGCATTCAGCCTAGACTCCAAGTGTTGTCTAGCATTTAATATGTGTGTGATTACCACGAATTGCAATTAACTTTGTTGTGAAAACTTCCAACACCCCTTGGGATAATTGGCATGGTGGGGTTTAGGAATCTCTTCTCGGGTCCTCCATGAATGCTCCAGGAAGGTGTGCCAGGCATGACAAAGCAGGGACTCATCCCACACCAGGTCTGCGCACAGCTCCAAGGCAGCGTGCACGCCCTGCACACGGCACGCAAATGATCCTGCATGCTGGGCTCGGAGCTGAAGGCGGCGAGAGAGGCCCAGAAGCCCCTGACAGCGCCTTGGAGATGGGGGAGGCAGGAGGTACAGGATCAAGGTGAGAAACCTAAGGCAGGCGATGAAAGGGAGGCAGGATTACTTTAGCCTAGGGCAGAAGGCAGAAACCACTGATTTCTCACGGAAAGATGGAGCCTCGCTTATCCCCAAACTGAGCAATCTCACCCAGCACACACACACAGAGGTGGTTGCCGTCTCATTTTAATGCACAGAGAAGCAGCTGCAGTCCGGTTTTAATGCACGTGCACACACACACACACACACAGAAGCAGCTGCAGTCCGGTTTTAATGCGTGTGCATACACACACACACAGAAGCAGCTGCAGTCCAGTTTTAATGCGCGTGCACACACACACACAGAAGCAGTTGCAGTCTGGTTTTAACACACACACAGAAACAGCTGCAGTCTAGTTTTAATGCACATGCACACACACACACACACAGAAGCAGCTGCAGTCCAGTGTCAATACATAAGTATCAAGCACCTTCTTCTTCATGCCAGACGCCGTGTTGGGTACTGGGACAGCATCCTGGGAATTCAGAGTTGAATGTGTGGCATCCAGGTCCTGCTGTGCGCGTGGTGACCCACGCCAGGCGGGGGCTGGGGCTCAGAGAGGAAGGGGCGTGAGTCCCTGGCTTGGATGCCTCAGGGAGACTAGGAGCTGCTGAAGCTGCATTTTAAACCTCACCCCATCACACACACACACACCAGACCCAAGTGACTGTAGCATACTTCTCCACACATTCAAGACAGAATACATAAGCCACTGAAATACAAGTGATTTCAGACAACCAGATAATGAAAAAGAGAGAGAAATGTAAGAAAGGAAAAATATAAACCAATCTCATGTGAGAATGCAAAAATCCTAAATAAAAGTTACCAAGCTAAATGCAGAAGTATATTAAAAGATATCAAATAAGATTTAGGATTAAATGCTGTTGCAATTTATTGCATTAATATACATTAAAATATAAAAACATGTAATCACTTTAACAAATGCAGGAAAAAATGATAAATTCAAACCCCATTAGGATTTTTTTTAATTTAGTAATTTAAAAAGTGGGATGAACGGTAGGCATCTGACCTAGTAGTTAAGATGCCACTGAAGATTCTCACAGGCTACCTAAGGACCTGGATTTGCATCCTGGCTCAGCTGCAGATTTTGGCTCCCTGCCTTCTGGGAGGTCCAAGTGGTCGGGTCCCTCCGAGGGCTCCAGCCGCCTGGCACCCAACATCCTGGGCAGTCCTTCACGAGATCCTGGATCAGACGGAGGAGGAAGGTTGCAAGGAGCATCCTTCCTAGACAGTTGCACACCACAAATGTGGACTGCATGTAACACAAAAGTATTGCAACATTACTAAATTGTAATTATATTGGGTTTAGGTAAAAGAATGGTTTTGTTCTTATCTAATACAATCTAAGGTGGTGTGATGTCAGGAAGTCCACATATATATTGAGATATAAGGATGATAGATGGTTTGAAGATGACATACAGATAGATAGATAATAGATAGTTATTTAGGTAGATAGGCAAACAGACAGACAGAGGAAGCAAATGTGAAAAGATCCTGGCAGATGCCAGATCTAAGAGAAGGGCACATTAGTATTCACTGTGTCATTCTAGGGTTTAAAATTTCCAAAATGTAGTAAATGAAGAGACAGTATTTGAACAGCAAAGTGAAGTACAAATCTAGTAAGAAATTTAATAAAAATAACAAAGGTGTTATGAAGAAAAATAGATATTAAGACATTAAAGAAGATATAGATGCAAATATATGTATATGTACCTGTGGGGAGCAACTCGGACTAGACTAAGTTACTGGAATTAAGACTTATTCTATGCATCTGCTCTCCCACAATATGGTGCTGGGAGAGGAGAAAACAGCTTCTACGCAGCTGCCTCTTGCCAACTTGAGTGATGACCTCCAGGAGCTGATCCTGCTCCTGATTGGAGGAGAGCAGTGTACTCGGCGTGTGGGCAGCCAAGTTGGGATTGGCGGAAGAGGACTATAAAGGAGGAGAGAGACAACATGCACCAGGAACATCTATCTGAAGGAACACCTGTGCAGCCCCCGAGAGAGCCGGCCAGCGGTGTGCCGCTCCCCCGCGGAAGTGGGGAAAGTGGCTAGGGGGAACTGCCCTTCCACGGAGGTGGAAGGGTCGGTAGCCAACCCGGGAAGAACTAGCAGCAAACCCGGGGAGGGCCTAGCAGACGAAAGAACAGTGCAGGGTCCTGTGTCATTCCTCCACGAAGAGGGGGAGCGACATGTACCTATATATGTTTAAGACAGAATCATGTAGGTTATAATCGTTCTAAATTAATGTAGGAATTTGTTGCAAGTCCTACTAAAACACTGTAGAATCCTCCACAGAATTTGGTAAATAAATCCTAAAATTTATGTAGGGGATCAAAGTGCAACAATTGCCAAGAAAATTTTGAACACAAAAAGAAGTGAAAGCAGGACTGTAGCTGAGTAAGAGATGAGAACTCATCCTAGCAGATGGCAAAATCCATTGCAAAGCTATGGCTACGGGTGTAGACCAGCAGATCATGGCACAGACAGGAAAGCGCCGATGTGTGGT